TGTGTGCCTGTAATCCCAGCTATCCAGGAGGCTGAGGCAGGAAGGATCACTTAATTCTGGGAGGTTGAAGCTACAGTGAGCCGTGACTGTGCCACTGCACTCCAACCTGGGTGACAGAGTGAGACCCTATCTCAAATAATAATAATAAGCCTACTAAAGACTACTATGAACAACTGATACACAAATTGGATAACCTAGAAAAAATGGACACACTCCTAGAAATATACACTCTACCAAGACCGACTCAGGAATAGAAAATCTGGGCCGGGCGCGGTGGCTCACGCCTGTAATCCCAGCACTTTGGGAGGCCGAGGCGGGCGGATCACAAGGTCAGGAGATCGAGACCACGGTGAAACCCCGTCTCTACTAAAAATTACAAAAAATTAGCCGGGCGCGGTTGTGGGCGCCTGTAGTCCCAGCTACTCGGGAGGCTGAGGCAGGAGAATGGCGTGAACCCGGGAGGCGGAGCTTGCAGTGAGCCGAGATCGCGCCACTGCACTCCAGCCTGGGCTGGGCGACAGAGCGGGACTCCGTCTCAAAAAAAAAAAAAAAAAAAAAAAAAAAGGAATAGAAAATCTGAACAGACCGGTAACAAGCAAGCAGACTGAATCATTCATCAAAAATCTCCCAACAAAGAAAAGCCTAGGACCAAGATGGTTTCACAGTGATATCTGCCAAGTATTTCAAGAAGGAGTACCAATCCTTCATAAATTCTTTCAAAAAATTGAAGAGGAAGGCCAGGAGCAGTGGCTCACGCCTGTAATCCCAGCACTTTGGGAGGCCAAACTGGGCAGATCACCTGAGATTAGGAGTTCAAGACCAACCTGGCCAACATGGTGAAAACCCATCTCTACTGAAAATACAAAAATTAACCGGGCATGGTGGTGGGTGCCTGTAATTCCAGCTACTCAGGAGGCTTAGGCATGGGTGATGCATCCCTGTAATTCCAGCTACTCTGGAGGCTGAGGTGGGGGGATTGCTTATTAAGCCTGGGAAGTCGAGGCTGGAGTGAGCCAAGATCACGCCACTGCACTCCAGTCTGGGTGACAGAGCAAGATGTCATCTCAAAAAAAAAAAAAAAAAAAAAAGGTGGCCGGCGCCTGTAGTCCCAGCTACTCTGGAGGCTGAGGCAGGAGAATGGCGTGAACCCGGGAGGCGGACCTTGCAGTGAGCCGAGATGGAGCCACTGCACTCCAGCCTGGGAGACAGAGCAAGACTCCATCTTAAAAAAAAAAAAAAGAAAGAAAAAAGAAAAAAAGATTTGCTAAACAAGCTTATAGTAGGGGCATTAATTGATCTTATAAAATATTGACAGATGTACTTATGCGTGTTTTTTTTTTTTTTTTTTTTTTTTTTTTGAGACAGGGTCTTGCTGTTACCCAGGCCAAAATGCCACTCACTGCAGCCTAGACCTTCCAGGCTCAAGCAGTCCTCCCACCTCAGCCTCCCAAGTAGCTGGGACCATAGGTGTGCACCATCACACCCGGCTAATTTTTATTTTGGTTTAACAGGGGCAGGGGACAGGTGGCAGGTGGTGGGTGCCTCACTGTGTTGCCCGGGTTGGTTTGGAACTTCTGGGCTCAAGCGTTCCTCCTGCCTCAGCCTCCTAAAGTGCTGGGATGACAGGTGTGAGCCACCGTGCCCGGCCCCACGTCATGCTTCTAAGTTCCCCCAGTAAAGCACCCTTTACCAACAATTTTTGTCTGCCTTGTTTCTTGGCTCCTTCGGCATTTGGAGGTTTGCGTACAAGGCTCTTTCATGGGAACAATGAGTAAATGGATATATGTATTAAAAAACGAATAGACTCTTTCACAGCATATTAGAAATGTTTATTAAGAATAACGGCATGAACTGCTTTTAACAATTTAGAAAAGACCACCCCCACCCCCTCGCCCGGCCCACAGATCCAGGGCACGTCCTCTAAGTAAACACAAATATTTTTGTAGTGAACTGTATGCCTATTCCCACTGAGTAAAGGTTGTAAGAAGCCTCAGGTCAGGTCTTACCATCAAACTTGAAAACACTTGGAATGCAGCTGGGCAGGGACTTGGGCAGGTTTTGTCTTGATAAGCAGGTAAGAATGGCAGAACACTGGCTGTCAGTCAATTTTTTTTTTATACACATGAAGTATTCACAGCAACTTATTTTAAAAACCTTTTTAAAAGTTCTACACCTTCACCCCCCCAACTCCCCAATCCAGAACATGGAACAAGAGTGTGGAGCTGTTTGATGAACTTGGTCTGCTCTTAACAATTTTTTTTTTTTTTTGAAGACCGAGTCTCACTTGTTGCCCAGGCTGGAGTGCAGTGGCACAATCTCGGCTCACTGCAAGCTCCGCCTCCCGGGTTCACGCCATTCTCCTGCCTCAGCCTCCCAAGTAGCTGGGACTACAGGCACCCACCACCGCGCCCGGCTAGTTTTTTGTATTTTTAGTAGAGACGGGGTTTCACCGTGTTAGCCAGGATGTTCTCGATCTCCTGACTTCGTGATCCGCCCGTCTCGGCCTCCCAAAGTGCTGGGATTACAGTCGTGAGCCACCGCACCTGGCCTGTTCTTAACATTTTACATTTAATACTCTTAGCCCCTAGGTCAGGCGCGGTGGCTCACGCCTGTCATCTCAACACTTTGGAAGGCTGAGGCGGGAGGATCACTTGAGGTCAGGAGTTCGGGACCAGCCTGGTCAGCATGGTGAAACCCCATCTCCACTAATACAAAAATTAGTTGGGCATGGTGGCAAGCACCTGTAATCCCAACTACTTGGGAGACTGAGGCATGAGAATTGCTTGAACCCGGGAGGCGGAAGTTACAGTGAGCTGAGATTGCGCCACTGTACTCCAGCCTGGGAGACAGTGAGATCCTGTCTCAAAAAACAACAAAACACTCCTAACCCGTGTGGGGTGGGTGGTTATTTCCATTTTATGGATGTTAGTTTGAAACTGAGGCAGAGATTAGGAAGCAAGGATCTGCAGTGATTTCTGCCTAGGTGGGTTAGGAGGGGTGGGGCTTAGGACTTGAAAGCCTAATTGAAAACCAAAAGCCAATCTCTTTATTCTGGACCTTGACAAGAGATCTGGTGAATGGTTTAGATTTTTGGTACAGACAAGTTCCAGGGCTTGAAAGTGAAAGTAGTCACAGGCCATGCGTTTGGTCTTTGCAGGTCTTGGGGTACATGTTCTCAAGGTACCTTGAGTGTTTGGGGGGTTTCTAGCTTCAGTGGGTTCTTGACAGATGTGCATTAGTTGGATGCTGAGGTCAAACCAAAGTAGACCAACAAGGTTGGTGGGGGGTTGACCTCAAATCTGGAACTTTATTCATCAGGGACTATGGCACCATAGAAAACCGTGGGCTCTCTTCCTTAGAGCTGATAGACAGCCAGAGACTGGGACTCCCTGGGCTGGATGATCAGAAAGCACACTGTAAACACAGCAGCGCAGAGCAGGTTGAGAGCTGTTATACAAATAAATTTTGGTCTTTATTGATTTCACTTAGGGGGTCATTTTGTTGCAGGAATATTACTGATTATGGATCCTACCTCAGCTGACACCGGGGGTGAGAGGTACATTGCTGTCCTGAGAGGTGGGGAGCAGAGGACCCCCTCCAATCCCCCGACCTAGAAGGCATTCACAGTCCTCCTGCCAATTCTCACTACCTTAGCTCCCCAAAGGCCCAGAATAGGATGCCTCCTCAGACCAAGTATCCACCTGGTGGGCTTAGCCACAATGCCCCACAGCCTGGGCCTGGTTTAGTGGGTGAGGTGGAAGTTCCCGAGTCTCCATCCACCTGCCAAAGCAAATTCATGACTGGGTTACAGGAAAAAGGGATATTGGGGCCTGTCCCAACTAGCTGGGAAACTCAGGAGCCAGGCCTCCAGGACTGAGACTCACAATACAACGCACCAGCAAAGGAATAGGCAGCTCAGGACAATAATGTCCTGGAATTTGCGACCTGGTGGTAACTTGGCTCAGTATTAGCCAAGTGAAAGCCATGAACAGATATCTCTGTTCCAAACTAGAACAAATGGAGGGATAACGCCTATGGGGCCTCAATACAGCCACTAGAAAGAATCATGACTAAAGGGAGCAGAACTGAGGAACTAAGACCAGCTAGAATTACAAAATCACCACCAACTTACCACCCAAGACACACACACACCAAAAAAGATCAAATCTCTGTGACTGAAAGCTTTGCCAACTCTTATCAGTGGCTTTATATGCCAATTAATCTAACCCTCCCCAGAAAATGTAAAATGGCATGAGGCTGAAGTAAAATGACTCACCCAAATACCTGGGAAGTAGAAGAGCCCCACATAAATATTGGTATATGAGCTCTTAGCATTCTGTTTTCAAACCAGGCCTCTCTCATGGCCCTCATACACAAAGATGAGTCCAGTGCACCTTTCCCCAACCCCCATCATTTCAGGGGAAGGAATAAACTGGTACCACTATTTATGATAGGGATTAGCTCACGCCATGAGGTCAGGTGCTTATGGTCTCAGAACAATCCTGTGAGGACAGTGCCCATCTAACGCTCAGAGGCTAGGGAGATTCAAGCCCAATGATTAGACAACGGGACTAAGGTAAGAGACCAGCTTAGGAAACCCAATTCCAGCCGGCCTCAGGCCTCAACGTATACCTAACCCCCTTGCAGTCCCTGCCCACCCATCAACCAAATATTCTCCAAGCCTCCCTCTCACTGATGTGCCCCCATTATTTTCTGAGACAGAGTCTTGTTCTGTCACCCAGGCTGGAGTGCAATGGCATAATCTCAGCTCACTGCAACCTCCACCTCCTGGGTTCAAGCAGTTCTCCTGCCTCAGCCTCCTCAGTAGCTGGGATTACATGCACCCGCCACCACGCCCTGCTTTTGTATTTTTAGTAGAGACGGGGGTTTCACCATGTTGGCCAAGCTGGTCTCGAACTCCTGACCTCAGGTGATCGGCCCACCTCTGCCCCCATTTTTAATTTGGAAAGTGGGCTGAGTAAGAAAAAAGCAGGTTTTCAGGTTTCATCTTTTTAATAAGCTCTGTGAAAGACATCCTAAGCACTGTATGAGACACAACAGAATATTTTTTCTTCCAGTATTAAAAAAAAAAAAAGACATTTGCAAACATTTTAAAGCAACTCTTCTATATAATCAGTTTGATTATCTGAATTAGAAAATACCCCTGGATAATCATGTTATTGATACACTTTTCTTTTTTTTTGAGATGGAGTCTCGCTCTGTTGCCCAGGCTGGAGTACAGTGGCGCGATCTCGGCTCACTGCAATCTCCGCCTCTGGGGTTCCAGCGATTCTCCTGCCTCAGCCTCCCGAGTAGCTGGGATTACAGGTGTATGCCACCACGCAGGACTAATTTTTTTATCTTTAGTACAGATGGGGTTTCACCATGTTGGTCAGGTTGGCTTGACGCACATTTCTTATAGGTACGTTTGGAAATTGCTTCCTAACCACAATAAACACTGTGTACAGGTTTTTAAAATGTCCTGGATACACATTAATTTTCTGAAACCAGTCTGGCCAAACTTGCCAGAATCAATTATTGCTAGCTCCAATAATCCTGAGAGATCTAACTAAAAAACTGGTAAAAAGAAAAACACTCAGGCTCTACAAACGTTCCATAATTTGTCTTTAAATAGGCAGAAAAAATTTTTTAAAAGATGGAACTGTTAAAGATCTTTAACTACCTTGGCAGGTCAATTTAAAAACAAAAGGTTGATATGCTATAAAATAAGATGCTTCAGTGCAGCTCCAAAAACCTTTATAAATACAGCCATTTGGAAGGACGATCCTGGATCAGAAATTATTCCTTGTGTATCTGAGAACAGCAAGAGGGGGAGAATTGTGATGTCATGAAGAAACAGCTGACAACATGCTCACCTCCTAAAGCTGATACAGATGCTGAGGGTTGGACAACAGGGACACCCCTTCATTTCCTCCATCCCACACAAGACTAGAGGATTATAGGAGATGGGTTTTCAGATCCCACCCCCTAGCAAACGTGCTCTGACATGCACCTGAGAGCAAGGAAGGCCTAGGAATGGTGTTTGGTAGGTTGGCTGGATGAGGTATGAGGGCAGCAGAAATGCAGAGCAGTCTTGCCAGAAAAGGTGAGACAGTCATGACAGAGTGTGACAAACAGGTTTACTCAATGCCGATATCCAAGTCTCACCTACATTATGTGCATGTCTCATTTCAGTTGTCATAATTGTCTCTGTAATTTCCTCCTGAGTAGCGGTCATAACCACCCTGGTTTCTGGGAAAAAAAAAAACACACACACACAGTTTTCTGGGACTGCATTATACACCACTGTCATTAATTATATGGGTCATGTTTTATAGTATGTGTCATAACATAAACCTTAAATATCAAAAACACGATATGTTAAGCATGAGTATCATAGTAAACAGTTTTATGGCATACAATGTATATGCAGTATTTAAATCATAATATGCAGTATTTAAATCATAATACACGTTAAAGCAATATAGTTATATAACCCACGCAGCACAACATGTGTATACTTTACCATGTTACAACCATATGACCACACAATTAACTCAAAATGCTGAATTTCATACTCGTTTTAGGCACACATTAGTAACAGCAAGATGTGATATGCATGAAAACCCAGGCGCCGAGTTCTTAAGGAGAGGGAATCAATAGCAGAACATCCCAGCCCCGAGGCTACCCACCTGCCATTATAGTCTCTGGAACGTCCATATCCATATCCATACCCTCCAGGTCTACTGTCATAATACCTGCCACTCCCATAGCCCTGGTCCCCACCACCTAGAACAGAAAAATATTTAAATGGCAGTTGTCCTCACCTAGGCAACTCTCCCTCTCACCCCATGATCAAAACTATCACTGCACTCACCTCTAGAGTAGCTGCGACCACGCCCATGGGCCCCAAAGCCACCTCCTCTGGTTCCCCGAGCAGACTTGCCTGCATGATCCACACGGATCTGACGACCATCCAGGGACTAAGTGTGGGAGACACAAGGAGGATAGGTTGGCAGTCAGGGCAGTGGTGAGGGAAGAGCAGGCAAGGGCAAGTGGGCAAAAGAGGCCAAAAATTCCTGCTGGGCACCAGGTTCTGGGTGCCATGTTCCAGAATAAGCTCCTTTACCCCAGAATGGTTTCATCAGGAGCTATAGAATCCCACACAAAATGACCTGAATGCACCATGTTCCCCTTGCTACTACTTACATCTTGACTGAACTCAGGCTGAGTTCTCCTCCCCACTCCTCTAAGCTGCCCGACTATCAGGGCTAGACAGACACCTCTCTTGGTTTGAGGCTTCAGAGTCCATGTCAGAAGACTCACGAGGTCCTCTCCGGGCCAGGCCCACAGGTCTGCAGACTCTACTACCTAAGCCCAAGGCAGGTCAACCATCCACAGGTGGCTTCTCGGCCTCATGCAGGACCAGTCGTCGCCTCCCAGGCGGCCAGGCTCTGTCTGCCGCTGCCCTCCACCCCCTAGAACAAAAGGCAGTCATGCTCCTGTGAGTGGGCACTGCGGGGCTTGGTGGCCACGCTGCCCCGAGCAGACACAGAAGGAAAAACAAAAAGAATGAAGGAAGCCGCAGATGGGGACAAGGTCCCTCTGCAGATAGGAGGCCCCACCTCTCCGTTCATGGCTCTCATGGCAACTGAAGCATGCTCTGGGTTGGTGAAGGTGATGAAACCAAAACCCCTGGACCGCTGAGTCTCCCGGTCCTTGACAACGACCACTATGAGAGGGAGAGAAGAAGGAGCGATGTGGACCAGTCAGCACCACAAAGGTTAAGTAGCAAAGGGTGGTCCGAAAAGGAGATGGCGGTAGGTAGGGAAAACGGAGCCCTCCCACCAATCCCGAAGACGGTTCCCCTCATCCTTAGTGGACACCATAGGCTTAAGAAGAAAAAGAACATGGAAGCGTGGGTCCTAACTTTTCGGTTAATACTCCTTGAAATACAAGGATCCCAGACTTTCTCTCACCAACCCCCATTGAGAGTCTGGCCCGTCTCACCCTCAGAGATAGGTCCGAAACTGCTGAAGTGGTCTTCCAGCGCTTGCTCGTCGGTGTTAAAGTTGAGACCTCCCACGAAAAGCTTTCCTTCTTCAGAGGACATGGCAGTTCAAGTCCTGTGGGAAGAACATGAAGAATGGTGGCAGGAAGGAGGAACAAAATGGAGACGTGAGAAAATAGCGAGACAGAAGGCGGAGAGAAGTACAGAAAATAAAAAAGAGGAACAAAATGGCTGGGCGCGGTGGGTCACGCCTGTAATCCCAGCACTTTGGGAGGCCGAGGCGGGCGGATCACAAGGTCAGGAGACTGAGACCATCCTGGCTAACACGGTGACAGCCCGTCTCTACTAAAAATACAAAAAAATTAGCCGGGTGTGGTGGCGGGCGCCTGTACCCCAGCTACTCGGGAGGCTGAGGCAGGAAAATGGCGTGAACCCAGGAGGCACAGCTTGCAGTGAGCCGAGAGAGCTTGCAGTGAGCCGAGATCGCGCCACTGCACTCCAGCATGGGTGACGGAGCGAGACTCCGTCTCAAAAAAAAAAAAAAAAAAAAAGAGGAACAAAACATGGGTAACTACAGAGAAACTGGGAAAGAAGGCCAATAAGGTAGTAATCTGCGGAGCTGGCTCAGCGCTGCCACCATTAGGGGGCCACTATTGCGCATGCTCACACATCCACAGCCGCCACGCCCGTCATTTTGTGTCACTGCGCAAGCCCAGAACATCCCTGCGTTCCCTCAACGCCGGCAGAACAAGATGGCGGCGGCCACGTGGGATAAGGAAAGCAAGTGTCGGCTGTCGCGTGGTCACTGCCACCACCGACGCCACCCAGTCCCTCCCGAGGGGCCTCACACTCAGATACAGCGCGCTGGCCTCCCACTAACCGAAATGTTCACCTCCCAGCACGGGACCCGCCCGCCCCAGAGAAAGCCAAGCCTACGTGTCAGCGGCCATTACTCTCCCCACTCACTATCCCCCGGTCTCGGCCGGCGCGGCGCGTGTGTGGCGAGGAGCCGCCGTTCCGCAGGCCATACGCAACTTACCTGGAAATTAAAACGTAAAAAACCCGGACAGACGGCGAGCTTGGAGGAGCACAGAAAACAAGGACTGGTCTGCGCGGGAAGACGATTGATAAAGAGTACGTAGCAAGAACGTCCCGGAACGTTCCCCTTGCGCGTCCCGGCGTGCATGCTGATTGGCTGAGGCTAGCAGGGGCGGAGTGGCGGGGGAGAGGAAGGGACAGCAAAGTGAAGGGAGCAGTATTCTCTGCGAAATGGGGTGTTTCCGGAAATGGGGTCGACTTTTGCACAGATGGTGCACCCTAAACGTCAGCATCCCCCCCACAACCGGCTGAGCTGCCTTGATCTCTCCCACACAGGAACCTTCTCACTCTCATACTACTTGCCGTCCCTGACATCATCCTCCCGTCCTTGCCATCGTTTCCCCCGCTGGATCTGATGTCTTCCTCACCATCGCAATCGTCTTCCTCTAGGTCCCTGCCATTCTCTGATGTCAACCTCCTTCACCTTCTAGTTCTTTAACCTCGTACCCTTTAAAGGCCCGACATTTTATCCCCCACGTCACTGATGTCATCACCCTTCACAGTCCGTGATGTCAGACCGTACGTTTTAAGGTTTGACACTGACTCCTACTCTTTCTCCTCTGTGCTCAACATCTAGCCGCCTGTCATGCGACGTTTTTCCCTGGCGTCATTCCTTCTCATCTCTGACTTCAGCCCTCACCCTTGTCTGACTGCCCCCGTGAAGCCAGCCCCTTAATTTTCCCACCAATAGACTGCCTGAGATGGCTTTTACAAAACAGGATGCTGGCCGGGTGCGGTGGCTCACGCCTGTAATCCCAGCACTTTGGGAGGCTGAAACGAGCGGATCACGAGGTCAGGAGTTCGAGACCAGCCTGGCCAACATGGTGAAACCCCGTCTCTACTAAAAATACAAAAAAAAAAAACCCCAAAAAACAACAACAACAAAAAAACAGCCGGGTGTGGTGGCACGCGCCTGTAGTCCCACCTACTCGGGAGGCTGAGGCGGGAAAATCGCTGGAACCCGGGAGGTGGAGGTTGCAGAGAGCCAAGACCACACCATTGCACTCCAGCCTCAGTCAAAACAAAACAAAACAGGATGCTGCGATCTTCAGAGGTTGTAAATCCCAGTCCTTAGAGCAATTTTTGCTCTCTTCGAAAGTAACTGAGCCCTTGCCGGGCGTGGTGGTGCACGCCTGTAATCCCAGCACTTTGGGAGGCCGAGGCAGGCAGATCACAAGGTCAGGAGTTTGAGACCACCCTGGCCAATATGGTGAAACCCTGTCTCTACTAATACAAATAATAATAATAATAATTATTAGCCGGGCGTGGTGGTAGGCACTTGTCCCAGCTACTCGGGAGGCTGAGGCAGGATAATCACTTGAACCCGGGAGGCAGAGGTTGCAGTGAGCTGAGATCATGCCACTGCACTCCAGCTTGGGCAACAGAGCGAGACTCTGTCTCAAAAAAAAAAAAAGTCACTGAGTCCTTTATTCACAGAAGGGACTTTCGCAATACACAATAGACTTATCCCAAACAAGTAGTGTCTGAGCCCACTGTTCACAATTTGGTCTTCAGTGTCTTGGCCACTTTTACAATAAATGGATTTGACAGATTTTTCATTTCTGAATGCCACATCATTGAAGAATAGGTTTGTCCTCAGAGGCTAAATTTCTTATCGATAGAATGAATTTGCCCAACACAGACCAAATTTGCTAACATACAGAATACAGTACATCCATATTCCTGTTGGGGTAATTCCCATATTTATCTTCCTGTTGATTGTCAGGGATTCCTCACATAGTCTCATTATTAATCCCTTAGGTGTTGGAAATAGCCTCTCCAGCTCTGGCATTTGTGTTATTAACTTTGTTTTTTTTTTTTTTTTTTTTTTGAGACGGAGTCTCACTGTGTCTCCCAGGCTGGAGTGCAGTGGCGTGATCTCGGCTCACTGCAAGCTCCGCCTCCCAGGTTCACGCCATTCTCCCGCCTCAGCCTCCCAAGTAGCTGAGACTACAGGCGCCCGCCACCACGCCCGGCTAGTTTTTTTTTTTGTATTTTTAGTAGAGACGGGGTTTCACCATGTTAGCCAGGATAGTCTCGATCTCCTGACCTCGTGATCCACCCGCCTCGGCCTCCCAAAGTGCTGGGATTACAGGCTTGAGCCACCGCGCCCGGCCTGTGTTATTAACTTTGTAAACGGTAAACTTAGTTGAATAAAGATCCATAATTTTGATATAATCATTTTTCCCCCTATGGTCTGTGCTTTTTTTGGAGACGGAGTCTTGCTCTGTCGTTCAGGCTGGAGTGCAGTGATGCAATCGCAGCTCACTGCAACCTCTGCCTCCCAGGTTCAAGTGATTCTCCTGCCTTAGCCTTCTGATTAGCTGGGATTACAGGCGTGCACCACTATGCCCAGCTAATTTTTGCATTTTTGTAGAGACAAGGTTTCACCATGTTGGTCAGGCTGGTCTCAAACTCCTGACTTTATGATCCGCCTGCCTCGGCCTCCCAAAGTGCTGGGATTACAGGCGTGAGCTGCCATGCCCGGCCTGGTCTGTGCTTTTAAAGAAATAATTCTCTTCCCCAGGTCACAAGATGTTCCCCTACAGTTTCTTTTTTCTTTCTTTTTTTTTTTTTTGGACAGAGTTTCACTCTTGTTGCCCAGGCTGGAGTACAATGGCACTATCTTGGTTCACTGCAACCTCCGCCTCCTGGGTTCAAGCGATTCTCCTGCCTCAGCCTGCTGAGTAGCTAGGATTACAGGCGTGTGCCACCATGCCTGGCAAATTTTTGCATTTTTAGTAGAGACAGGTTTTTGCTATGTTGGCCAGGCTGGTCTTGAACTCCTGGCCTCAAGTGATTCGCCCGCCTCGGCCTCCCAAATTGCTAAGATTACAGGCATGAGCCACCGCGCCTGGCCACATTTAGGTCTTTAATTCATGTGGAGTCCGTACTTGTATATGGTGTGAGATAGAGCTACAATTTTATTTTTCTCTATGTGATGAGCCAGATGCCCCATCACCATCTATTAAGCAATCTGTCCCATCCCTGTGTGTTTGTTACCATCTCTATCATATATTAAGTTCCATAGATATATGGGTCTGTCTCTGAGGTGGTTTGTTGCTGGTTTTGTTGTTGTTGTTGTTGTTGTTTTTAAGAGATAAGCCCTGGCTGGCTCCTGGCCTCAAGCATTCTCCCCAACTCAGCCTCCTGAGTCACTGGGATTACAGGTGAGGACTATCGTACCTGACTTCTGAGTTGTTGTTTTTTGTTTGTTTCTGTTTTTTGACAGAGTCTCACTCTGTCGCCAGGCTGGAGTGCAGTGGCGCGATCTCGGCCCACTGCCACCTCTGCCTCCTGGGTTCAAGTGATTTTCCTGCCTCAGCCTCCTGAGTAGCTGGGATTACAGGTGCGCACAACCACGCCCAGCTAATTTTTGTATTTTTAGTAGGGATGGGGTCTCACCATGTTGACCAGGATGGTCTTGATCTCTTGACCTCGTGATCCGCCCACCTCCGCCTCCCAGAGTGCTGGAATTACAGGCGTGAGCCACCGCGCCTGGCCCTGAGCTGTTTTTTCTCTTTTTTTTTTTTTTTTTTTTTTTTTTTTGAGATGGAGTCTCTCTCTGTTGCCCAGGCTGGAGTGCAGTGGCCTGATCTCAGCTCACTGCAAGCTCTGCCTCCCAAGTTCACGCCATGCTCCTGCCTCAGCCTCCTGAGTAGCTGGGACTACAGGTGCCTGCCACCACGCCCGGCTAATTTTTTTGTATTTTTTAGCAGAGATGGGATTTCACCGTGTTAGCCAGGATGGTCTCCATCTCCTGACCTTGTGATCCGCCTACCTTGGCCTCCCAAAGTGCTGGGATTACAGGCGTGAGCCACCGCGCCTGGCTTTCTCTTCTAAATAGGTCTACTTCTTAGCTCTTCGGCCAATATAGGTTTTTTTTTTTTTTTCTTTCTTTCTTTTTTTCCTTTTATTACTAACGCCTTTAGTATGTCTTAATATCTAGTGGGCAAATCCCCATCATAACTCTTTCTTTGAAGGCTGTCTTAGCTGCCCATGATTCATTAGTATTCTAAATTCTAATATAAGTGTATTACAGTTCTAAAAAAAAGAAGTAATGAGGCCAGGCATGGTGGCTCACGCCTAAATCCCAGCTACTTGGGAGGCTGAGGCAGGAGGATCGCTTGAACCCAGGAACTGGAGCCTGCCGTGAGCTATGATCATGCCACTGCACGCCAGCCTGGGCAACGAAGTGAGACCCTGTTTCAAAACAACAACAAAAAGTAATGGAAGTTTTATTGAGATTGCATTGAATTTTTACATTTTGGGAGAAATAATGTCTTTTTTTTTTTTTTTTTTTTTTTTTGAGATGGAGTTTTGCTCATGTTGTTCAGGCTGGAGTGCAATGGCACGATCTCAGCTCACCGCAACCTCCGCCTCCCGGGTTCAAGCAGTTCTTCTGCTTCAGCCTCCCGGGTAGCTGGAACTACAGGCACCCACCATCATGTCTGGCTAATTTTGTATTTTTAGTAGAGACGGGGTTTCTCTATGTTGGTCAGGCTAGTCTCGAACTCCCGACCTCAGGTGATCCACCCACCTCTGCCTCCCAAAGTGCTGGGATTACAGGTGTGAGCCACCGTGCCCGGCCAAAATAACATCTTAATAATATTAACTGTGGAGGTTTTAAGATATGGTCACACTCTGATACTGCACTTGTCAGGAGTTGGAGCCTAACTCCCTTCCACTTGCATGTGTGCTGGACTTAGTGACTCAATTGTAAAGCACAGAATGAGGTGGAAGTGATAGTGTGTCATTTCCAAGACCAGATTGTAAAAGGCACATCTGCTTCCTGCTGTCACGCAGATTGCTCACTCTGTGGGACATTAGCTGGTATGTCATGAGCAGCCCTGTGGAGGGATCCAGGTGGCAAGAAAGTAAGGCCTCTTGTCAACAGCCATGTGAGCAAGCCTTCTTAAAGGTGGATCCTAGCCTTCAGATAACTGCAGTCCTGGCCAACATCCTGATTGCAGCCTCATGAGCAGCTCTGAGTCAGAACCACCCAGTTAAGCCACTCTCAGAATCCTGACTCTCCGAAACCGTGTGAGATAATAAATGTTTATTGTTTTAAGCCACTAAGTTTTGGGATAATTTGTTAAAAATAACTTACATATTACCAAAATCCAGCAAAGAGCATGAAATGTCTCTCTTTTATTCAGATCGATTTCTATTGTTAGAGTTTAAATTCTTTAAAATAGAGGTCTTTTGCATTAAATTCATTCCTACTTTTTTTTTTGTTGGT